ATATTGATCAAATAGCATAGAAAAATAGAGCGAAAGACGCTCTATCTGTTCATTAAAAGAGAAATGTTTTTGAAGCGCTTCTTAAGAAAATAAAGTACCTCCCTCACTACTTTTGGATTGCCCTAAGCAGACCATAACGTTTTTGTAAATGGATGAATAATTTTCAAAAATGTTTTATAAGTGAAACATTCAGTATTTTTTTAATAAAATCAGAAGGCGTGGAAACAATGGTGAAAACCATCGTGGTGGGCTACGCGATGGCGAAGACCCGACCTCTCTGGCTTGTTGTGTTGGGAAACTATATATCAAACAATGTCACACTATACGGGTGGCTGAATAATTTAGGTTCTCACTGTATTTATGCCGTCGTCATTAATGAAATTAAGTAAAACCTACTCTTCACATAATTTTGTAAAGGCTTTTTAAATTGTTTAGTTCAGAAAAATACTATAAATACGATTGCGAGCACTCTTTCATCTAGGAAATTTAAAAACATAAATGGAAAATATGAAAACTTCGTATATCAAAATATTTGTACAGTAATCTGAACTTCAACATCTGTCGATATTTCAGCATGTTTAAGAAATACATTGCTACAACATTCACGTCATAGCATGAAATAGTTGCACGTGAAGGTATGTCAGCATTTGGACGCATGCAAAAAGTACTAAAAGTAAATATGATCATCCACTGATTGCCTTAAGGCCTCCCCCCTCAGAAATGGCGATTTTCGGTCAAAAATCGGTTTTGAGATAAGCACGTGGAAAGATAGCCTGAAGTGTCTAATCCACAATGTGTATTGCTTTTGGTTACAAAACTGGTTTTTCTGGGATTTTGAGCAAGTTTTCTACGAGTCTCGAAAAACCGGATCTTCAAATAATAGAAATCCGACTTGTAAAAACCCATATATATCAAAAGATGAAGTAAAGCCTCCTCTACAAAATGCTGAAAACTGCAGGCCTATATCTCTCTTCGTTCTGGAGTTATTCAAAAAATAGCCACGGACACTATATTTTGAAATAGATAGTAGGTTATAATCATCCGATACTTTGGAGATCCCCATGAATTCATGTGCAGTTTTTAGTGCTCTATCCTCTGGCGGTTTTGGATTTCACTAATTAGCTTTCATTCTTTTCCAAAAATGAAAGTTTTATTAAAAAATCAAAAATAGCCCATTACGGGGAGGGGATATTTTATATGCCGACCAAACTACGCGATTTTTGAGCGAATTTTTACTCAGTACCCGAAAGAATGCATTCAGCCGATCCAGAAGGAATCTGAATCAGTTTTGAATCCTCTTTCGAATGGCATTGTCCGTTTTTTATTTGGTGGCTAAGCGGAGGCCAGAAAAAGGATTGATTGATTATATAGACCGAACAGATTATACAAATTATCCCGATTGAGATTTTATCCTGATTGGGATATAAGTCATGATATCACACTGACTGGCAGTACAGCCCTGCAGGTTACAACTTTTTCATAACCTATAACCTGTCCTGTAAAAGCTTTAACAACCTATAACCTTTCATAACCTTATAACCTGTCCTAACCTGCAATATTTTTTGCGTAACCTGTTCTGTCCTGCCCTGCGAAAGAATTACTGCAACAATGAGTACCCAACTTCGAAAATTTTTCCTAATAAGGTAAATTCTTTTCATTTACTTTATTTATGCAGCAAAAAATAACAACAAAAGATTACACACCTCTGAAATTTCTGTTCAATAATATATCGTCAACAATATCTGCATTCAACGGCTATCTTCGTGTTTCCGATACTCTTCCTGATGCACTAAATATTTTTTTTGACTGACAAAAAGTATTTTTCTAGTTATTATTTCTTCCCCTTTACAGATGGCGTTTAATAGCGGTTTTACAGATTGAGACTGGGTACAGGTAGTGTAGCCTGTAACCTGTTCTGTAAAAGTTTTCGTAACCTATAACCTATCCTAAACTGCAAAGGTGTAACCTAAGCCTGTCCTATTCTGTCAGGACAGGACAGGTTAGTTCAGGTTATGCGTGCTCTGCAGGGCTCTAATTGGCAGCGCTACCCGTTCTTTGCAAAAGAACTGGTACCAGTTCGCGTTCAACCAGAACTGAACTAGTAACCAGTTCTCTCAACCAGTTCTTAGGAACTATAGAAACTGGAACTGTCCTACCCCTACCTCTTCCTCCCTTATGAATTTAAAAGATGTGCGTCGGAAAAGTATGTTTAACTTGTGTGTGTGTGTATGATATGTCCTACTGTTGTGTATAATTCTTACCGAAGAAAACTATACAAGGATGAAATTCGATCCAACTATGATACACATTTTTCATTATTAATCTTTTTGTCAATATACTTCTTTTCCTCCTCTTTTTTGCTTGTTTTTAATCATCTATTGATTCTATCCGTTCTTATTCTTACATACGTCATGAATTTTGATGAATATTATTCTGTTCTTTGTCGTCACTCGCGTAGTAGGTTTGTAACTTATATAAACCAAATATTTGTGAAGCATATACAGATAAATATATACTAAAAGAGAGAAATCATTAGTTTCTATTCAACTTTCTTTCTTTTCAGTGTCTCATACGCTCCCTTAACACTACTTCCACATGGTCTCAAATTTACTCTCGATCTTTGCTCCTGTTAGCAGCAACATATTATCACCTTCATCAGAAACGATACTAAGCAATGAAAAGCAACAGATGGTAAATATTATTTCATCTCGCGAGGGATAGTTTTTGACTTCATAAGCACAGTTTTTATAGGTTATCGAGCATGCTGATTCCGAATATGATCATGAGAGCTGCCTAAGGTGGGCCTTATTAGGGTTTTCTGTCAAAGACCAATCCCAAGAAACACTTGTCTTTTGGTAAGATGAAACATTTCTGAGTCAACCGGAAACCGCTGCAAAACTGAAAACTGCAGCCTTCCCAAAACTGTATTTAGTAGTCCAAACCGCTTTTAGGTTAACTGTTCAAGACCAAAGTTACAAGAAAAGTTTTAGTTCTAATAACTTTTCAATAACTCATACGGGAAGGCTGAAATTTTCGGTTTTGCAGCGGGGTTTCTGATGAACAGAGTTTGTGAAACAGCACATTTTTGATGAAGGTAGAAATTGAATTTTACAACGGCTATAGCAGAGACTAATTTGGTAGACAAACACATGAGAAGAAAATACATGTCGCAACTGGGACTCGAACCAGGGACCCACTGGTAACAGGGCAGAAGTTCTAATCACTGAGCTATCGAGGCACAGCCTAACATACATTCTCAGTTCACATGAACTGAAAACTGTTTATCAAAAATAACTTAAAAAAACAGGCATATTAAATCTTCGAGAGAATGAATTCTCGTGTAATCAGGATGGCAGTACTACTACTCGTTGTACGAGGAATACTGTGCCAGTATTTAAGACTCTAATAGTTGAAAGTTATTCACGTGAACTGAGAATGTATGTCAGACTGTGACTCGAAAGCTTAGTGGTTAGAGCTTCTGGCCTGTTACCAGAGGGCCTTGGGTTCGAGTTCCAGTTGAGGCATATATTTTCTTTTCATGTGTTTGTCTACCAAATTAGTCTTTGCTATAGCTGTTGTAAAATTCAATTTCCGGTTTCTGATGCTCTTTACAAGATGGCAGACTCAGAAATGTGGCATCTTACCGAAGAGTTAGGGTTTTTTAGACTGGTTTTCTAGAAACCGCATCAAAAGCCCACCATGGGTAGCTGTCGTGTTCATATTGGGGATCAGAGTGGCCGATAATCTATAAAAAATGCATTTTTGACATCAAAAGCGCTTTATCAGTTGGATCAGTTCTTCGGTCAGAGGGAGCCGTTGGTATTTTTAATAATCTTTTTTCTTTATTCAGGTCATTTCGAAGTTGTCGACTATTATTAGCGATCCAAGTGACCTAGCCCTGGCACTTTCCTTTCTAGCTGCTCAAGGCTCCGACAGTGTTTACATGAATACATTATGTGCACTACTCAAGGAAGACGAACGGTTTCAGTCGATGACGCAACAGTTTCTCACAGATATTCATACCTCCACAGAAGATCCTGAATTTAAGAAAATTATGACCACTATATGGGACTCGTATTCAAAAGGTGATCCTCAGGCCACCAAAGCAGTCAGCAACAGCAATCCAATATTCGACATAAATCTTCACAATTACTTAAATTCGAAAGTCGCCGTCATCAATCTTCAACAAGCACTCCGTCTAATTCCGTTGAATCAACGAGGAGCAGTTATCTCAAAAATTCTCAAATTAGCAGAACACATTGCTGGACAACGTGCACTAACATCTAAAGCACTATCATCACTTAGTCAAGGAGGAACTTCTTCTCGTGCTGTTACACCGGTAGCGATTGTTGTTGTCCTCCTGTCATGGGAAGCTCTGAAAAGTATTTCCTCGTGGTGGAAAGGTGAAATTAGTGGAAGAAGATGTGTAAAACAGTTGATTGATGCTCTGTCGGCACTTGCAGGAGGGTATGCTGGTGGAGCAGCTGGTGCAATTGCGGGTACGGCTGTATTTCCTGGTGTCGGCTCCTTAGTTGGTGGGGTTGTCGGCGGACTACTTGGCTCGAGCGGTGCTGCTGCACTTTCGAAATGGCTTACAGAATATTTCTTCGATTTACCACGGACTGCGGCTTTGGAAAAAGCGTATAAGTTTCTAGATTTGAAGCCGTCTTGTACGAACAGTGAGATTAATTCAGCTTTTAGAAGTATGGCTCTCAAATATCATCCAGACAAAGAAGGTGGCTCAGCTGAAGACTTTCATAAGTTACAAGTAGCAGTTGCTATTATTAAACAGGCACGCGGAGAGGGTATTTAAAAATCTTTTTTTAGTTTATTCAGTTTATTTTTGTAAATATGTGAAAAAGTGTTGAAATAAATATTCCATTGAGAAAACCTATGTTTATTCCAAGCTCGGAAGAAGAACAATCGAGTTCCTCCGAAGTCCACAGTAGGTTTATAGTATGAGGACGTTGTTTCTATTGAGAAAAACCTTCTACTTTTGTCGTCGCACAGTGGGGAATTTTGACTTTGCACGTGGATATGTGCTAGAAAAGCGGTATGAAAATCTGTAAGCACTGTTTTTATACGCTCTTTTCAATGACGCAATTGTTAAACTTCTAAAGTATGTTCGAACTGGTTTTTCAGAGATCGAATCTCTGGAAAACCGGTAGAAATCTACTTTGAAAGCTCGACGATTGCGTCATTGAAAAGAGTGTATAAAAACAGTGCTTACAGATTTTCATACCGCTTTTCTAGCACATATCCACGTGCAAAGTCAAAATTGCTATGTCAATACGCTGAAACCGTCACATTACACTAAATCGAAACATTTTTTATTCAGAAATACCTCAAACACACAGTTTTAGATGCAGTTTTTCATGATGATTCCGAATCTGTTCTTACTTGTGAGCATAAGTGATTTTTTAGACGAAAACATTTAAAAAACCTCTGAAAATCCAGAGTTTTTGGAAAATCTATAACTCTACAAAGAAAAGCTTTCACATCTTTTCGCATACATTGTGGATGTGTCCAGAGTTGGAGCCAGCTGAAGTTTTCCTAACCGGATCGGACCGGCTAGTTTAATGCGTAGTTCAACCGGTAATAAACCGGCCGGTTCAGTTTTGGAGTTCAACCGGTATAGTCCATAAAAATAAATCGCGCAAAAATTCTAAAACATAAATATATTATTTATCGAATTGAAGAATCTCATGTAATCTAGTCACCTTGTACTTTTGTTTTTTGCTTTTCCTCCTATTAGAGAAATAAAGTTAGATGTTCATAGTGTAATTGTTTTCGTTGATGGATAAACATTTGACTACAAACAGTAATACTTTCAAACAGCAGTTTGCTATTCAAAAATCCTTTTGTTTTCAGCTATCTGAGCCCATTTTCAAGACTCGACTAGGGTGGAAAGTAACCTAAGCTAGCGTGCGTTTGCACTTTTTTGAAATAAAAGGAATGGAAGGGAATCGGGGTTTTTTTAGAGAGTATTTCAAGGGAAAAAAGAGAAAAACGAAGAAAGTATTTTTTCACTCGTCCAGCAGTGTGGACTAATACAACGGCAAAATTTAATTTTATGATAATGAGCGCAAAAGAAGTAGATTGCATAATTTTTCTTTTATCCTTAGTTCTTTCTCCAGTGTTATTCGATTACGGCGTTGCTCTATTCAAAAAGTGTTCTTTTGAAACAGCTTTCATTGATTTCTACGACTTTTCTCTAAACAACGAAAAAATACTTTAACTTTAGCTTCGTTTGGTTTTTTCGTTGCTAAACTTGTACAGTTTTAGTATCTTGACCTTCTCTCTTTTTCTTTCCTTTATATTAATATTTAGATTTTCTTCTTTCCTTTTTTGCGTTTTAGGCTTGTATTGGTAAGACATTCTTGATTTCATAATTATTTTTTCAAAACTGTTTATTACAAGTCTGGGTGTTTCCGTTTTACACATCGAATCGTGATAGATTTTCAGTTATGTGCACCGAGCATCGTTGATTATCGTATTTTATGAGACACTCGGCGTCAGAATTTGAAGCATGTTTGTGCTTTTAAGTGGGAGAAAAAACTATTGCGGGTTCGGTGTGTGCACAGAGGACCAGGGGGCCAACATGGCATGAAAAAGCCTACCTCATGCACAGAGCGAGACTTTCGAGTCATCGAACTAGTGGTGCTGACAATAAGCTTGGTGCTGCTGCGGTCGTGGTAGGTGGACATATGGCTTATAAGTATTATAAAAATTCACTAAATGCAGATTTTTGTATTCGGTGGGCGAATCGACAGCCTATTCCAAACGCATCTACATATAATATACCTCCATGTCCGTGTGAAGTTAAACCGAGTTTCGATAAAGAGTTCACAGAATTCGGTGTTACATTTAAGCAGGATAATGCATGTAATCCGAAATCGGCACCAGACTGCACATATCACAAAGGCGCTAAAGGCTGTTATCGTGCTGGTTACGAGTCCTCTGGTCCTGGAGCACAATGTTGCTGTCGAGATAATGGTCAATGGGAAGATAATCCCCTCAATGGTGCCTAAACTCTAGATAAATATTATGGTTCTGACTTCTACATTAATCAGTATTTGCTTCATTTCATAGACGATGTTCAACCATTTGAAGCCTGTTGCAAAGAGATGACATCGACTTTATGTGGCAATTACTTTCGTAAACGTCCACCATCAACCACAGGTAAGTGTGAAAATCCGACACCACCACGTCCGGCCGGTGGCAATTGTGATCCGCATTTCACGACACTTGACAGTTTTAACTATACATTCAACGGATACGGAGAATACACTCTTATTCAAACAACCGATTTACAAGTACAAGTGAGACTAGAACCAGTTGGTGCTGAATCAGCTAGCAATCGTGCAACAGCAATTATGGCATTTGCTATAAAAAATGCGAATTTTTCGACAGTGCAATTTGAGTTATTCCCATCTTTAAATACCACTGAAATAAGAGTGAACAGTCGTCTACTAGATTTGGATCAAGCTCCAATTCTGCCTTCGACGAATAATTTCGACAATGACCAACTCTTGCTAACAAAATCGAATCTAACCATATACAAGATAACCTTTGCAAATAATATCAGTTTTATTATTCATATCCGCGAACAATATGATTTTTTAAATATACTTGCATTATTACCACCACATTTACAATATCAAGGTTTACTTGGAAATATGGATATGAACAGAACAAATGATTTAGTTTTTCCCAATGGAACCATTCTTGATTCGGACAGTAGCGAACAGACTATTTTCGAATTTGGTGAATCGTGGCGAACGACCGAGCAAACGTCTATCTTCTACTATTTGAGTAATGATAAACACGCTAATCATCAAAATGCGACATACAGACCAACATTCACACAAGAGCTATTTCAAAAACATCAAAATACGTCTCGATTTACAACGGCTGAAGAGAGTTGTTATCATCTTAAATCGACAGTAACTCAACGTCAATGTATTTACGATATTTTAATTACAAATGATGCCACAATGAGCGAAATGCACACAAATTTTCAATCAAATATCCAAGAATGGAAAGAATTTGCTGAGTTCGTCGAGTTTCAAAGCCAACTAACAACGCCTGATTTTGCCGTAATTACAACAAACGACGAGGTTACAATTCTGATGTCAACTATACCAATAGCAACGCCATTAGCCACAATGATATCTGAAGGGGTAAATGTTACAGCAGTAAATCAATTAAGTACACATAGCACTGCACCAATCGGTCATTACAATAATCGCTTATTTTTGGTATTATCAACGCTCCTGTTTTTCTACTACATTTAAACGTGTGTAATACACATTTTTGTACTCTCGATAATTTTTTATTATAATTGAGTTCCTTCTTGTTGAACAAATGCTTATCTTTTGATTATACATTCATTCGAGCAAGAATATCTTTATACTAAACAATGATTACTAAGAATGTTTTAATAAATGACTTTTCAAACGTATATACATAGTCGAATCTTTAAGACTAAAAGTTGAACCAAATGCTTTTTTCGTATTATTCTTGTACTTAACATGATTATGAATTTAAATTGTTCAGAGATAACAGCTCAGATAGCCTAGTGGTTTAGTGCAGTGTTATATAACATTGACGATTCAGATTTGATTCTTGATTTGAGCTTTTTGAAGCTTTTGTTTTTTTAAACTCTTTGACATGTAGTCATTCCAAAAATAGTGCCATACCATAGGATCGACTATCGACAATTCAATTCTGAAGTCTGTGTTTTTTACCATAGCTTATTAGAAATGTTGATATGCAATACTTGATAAAAGTATCACATGTACTCATGAACCTGAAGGACTATAAGTTTACTAACAGCTTATTATTTTATGTGGTCACAGTTAGACGAATATAGTTACTTGAATAAATAATAATGAAAAAAGGCATTTACTGATAAAGGTAATTCGAAAAGTGTTTAAATTCTGGTGAGTACACTTTCCATTGTCTGTTTTTTTAAACTCCTCGTCGTTTTTACAAAATATATAAAGTGCCAGTAATTCAAAGTTCCCACAAGTTTTATTGTTCGTTTTAACACACATATTCGGATTCGTCGTGAGTTGCTGATCACGAATCTGACCTTTTTTCTCAATTTACATAAAGTCTTCAGGGAGAAAAATGCAAAATACTGAGAAGAACTCAACGACACGAAAAATTTATCGTTTCAAAAACTTGGCTGGAACTTTCTTTTCTTTTCATTTTTTCAGATTTTTGAGGTGATATTCGGATTCTTCGTATGAAACTGAGTCTAGGAATGTTGACTAGAGTCCTATCACATATTACGTGTCCGGTACAGGAATCCAAGCGATATCATCACTCCGTCTGTAGTGCCTCATTTTGCTAATGTATCTAGCTTTTCTGGTGACAAGATAGAGACTTCATTCATTAAAACCGCCGTTTGATGCGCAACAAAGTTATAACCTTTTTTTTCTATGATGTTTTTGTGCTGAGATGTAGTGTCTGCTATAGAAATCTATGATACAACGAATTTGTCTAATTATTTTCTTTTGTTTGTTATGTATATCCTGCTAGCTTAATCTCGTTTTATATATAGGATTCAAATAAGCAAAGTATTGTTGTATAAAGGAATTTGTCTGAAGTGTGAATTTTTAGGATAGGTGCCTATTATTTTTAAATAATCATTAATCCATCCATCCATGTGTAAATTTTCGGAATTGTACGTGGGTATGCGTGTAAAAGTTATTTTTTTTATACGTAAACGCAAATGAAAATGTTTAGTACGAATAAATACGATGTTTAGCGTAGCCTAATATTTCCCGCTTAGGGATGAGCAGTAACGATAAAAGCCTTTTTTACCGAAGTTTACCGCGGTAATTTTGAAGTTTTTTATAATTTTATCGAATTTCTATTTCCATTTTTACAATTACTATTTTGAATTTTTGACTATTTACGTCAGAACATAAAATCAGATATGATGAAATATTCAATGTTTCTCAAAGATAAACTGTGAAGTGAAATAGTTGCAAATCGAAACTTTTTGAATGTTTCTCATTCATATTAACTTGTTCTTTTCCATGAATAAATCTATTTATCGTAGTTTAAAAAATAACCTACATACATTATCAAATACTCTGCAATTTCCTGGTGTTTCTGATTCAATGTTCCGGCATCCCTCGCCGGATCAAACGCCGAGTATTTTCCAAATCCGGCCATATGTGAAGCTGTGCAATGGGAACATTTACGCTTGCTTTATCCTGAAAGCAATTTGTTTTCGTTTATAGTTACGAAACTTGTTTTCTGTGTCAATGTTTGAAGAAAATAGCTGTAGAAGATATAGGTGCATATTCTCTTCCTCATTCTCTCCGTTCATCATGAAAATGGTGAAACGAACAGAAAGAGAAAGAGAGAAAAGGAGAAGGAGAAAAATACCTAATTTCAACGTAAAAACGGTTTCTCGCTTTTTTCTCAAAAACTAGACGTTCCACCAGAAAACAAATATCAGATTTGGAATCTGCAAGCAAAAAGGAATCAGAATATGCATGCTGTTTTACTCTAAACCGCCCCCCAAAAAATAAGCCTGATTTGCTATGCGATACACTGAAATTAATTAATCGAATTCTTTCATAATGTTTTCTCTGTTGCAGATTAGTCGAATCTGTGAGTTCAAACGATTCGGCGGATGAAAATGTTTAGCATATGATTTTATTTAAATTATATTCAGGTACAAATAAGTCAACAACTAGTTCTCCTAACGTTCATACACATAATCAAGTTGGCACCGAAGTAACTGATCATCATGGAACTAATAATAGTCAGATTAAAATGATAGCGAACCACAGTAGATGCGATCCTCCTTAGTCAACTGCAATGTCAGTTCGGTTTCAAGTCAAATATAATCATTCTTTTTCATCATTCCGGTTTTAGTAGAACATATATATAAACCGGAATGATGACTAGATGATGCTACTACGACATCTGTAGTATCATCTGGTCTTAATAATTGACTTGGCTTTACCATGCACACTCTCAACAGTAGTGTAGCAGTCCAATATACAGTCACACCAATATACAGATCCAATATAGTCGACTTGACAATTAGGAAAACTGCTCGAGCAATTTTAACATCATCTTAAGCATTATTAACTCTCAAAGATATTATTTTAAGATCTACACGTGTTAGTGCGTCAACTCAGACGGCAGCGGTTAGACACTTAATAAAAGACAGCCTATTATACGAAGATTTTATTTTGCTACGTGGATACTGTTTCAATAATGAAATTTGCTCATACATCACATAAATATGATATTGACCGGTCACAATATCTTGTATTGTTCAATAACGACAAACAATCGAATTTGATATTAATAATATTACAAAACCCGATTATTAACGTTCATAATAATGTAACAACAAAAGCCAAATTTTATCCGTCAGCATTGGCTGAAACAAAATATAAGTCATCAAACTTTTATCAATCTTTTGTAAAATATGATGAGAAGATCGTATTGCGCCCACGACAACCGATTGCTACGCCGTTTTCGGATACAGGTAAGATGAGTTAAACAAAGCTGATGTCTAAATCTGTCTATATCTTGTCAAATTTTCTTTGTTGTTTAAATATCAACAGATTTATAAATAATTATAATAAAACACAATCCATAAAAGGCAAAAAACGATCTTCGACATCTGGTGTGAAACGTTTTTCGAAACGACATTCAAATAGTCCATTTTTTAATAGACACCAGTCACGCAATTAACGGAATCATCATAATCTTCTAAAGTGAAGGTGATTTTGTTTAATATAAGGCTACCTACCTTTTATCGGTACAATTAATAACAATCCACGGATTTCAATTTTTATTCTACTATCAAATTAACAACTTATAGTGAAAATTCCACAAAAGAAATCGGTGACGTGTCGTAAAATAAACATTTCTCTACCTTCATTTTAATAAAATTTCATTGTTCCGTAAAAAACTTGGTTTTTTTTCCCCTTATACTCACTTGTTATAAGCTTTGTTATCTATGAAGACAGACAGAAACGGAAGACATTCATTTTCCTCCTTCTTTTTATGCTGTTTAATATAAGAACAGCACAAAAAGAAGGAGGAAAACCCATGGTATTATCTTGTCTGCTCTTTAAAATAAAAGTTACTAGTGTACAACAATGTTAGAAATAAACACACATAGACGCTAATCTGACTCATGCCATACAGAAACGTAAACTTCATTTGTTTTTCTAATACCTGACTTTTTATCAAAATAGGATTTAACATCGAAGAGATTGACCAAGATCAACTTCTCAGATTAGCGTCTATGTGTGTTTATCTCTAACATTCTTCGGACAGTTGTCAAAGAATTAAAGTATGGTCGAACTGGTTTTTCAGAGATCGAATCTCTGGAAAACCGGTAGAAATCTACTTTGAAAGCTCGACGATTGCGTCATTGAAAAGAGTGTATAAAAACAGTGCTTACAGATTTTCATACCGCTTTTCTA